GGACTGGCCTAGGATAATTTTTAAGAGGGGTTTTTTAGAGGGTTTTTAATTACTTTTTAATTAGACAATTTAAATATTTCATTTTAATTAATTTTAACTTGTGATTGTTAGTGGTGTTTTTAATTGATTGTCAGCCGCCCTGAGTCCGCAAGGAGAAGGGCGGGATATAAATTCAAATAATAAATAAATAAAATAAATAGTCCCACCCAGTCTGCCGTTACCACCATAACCACACCCACCCAATGGGCCACAGCCCCCAAATTGGCCACACCCAGCCAATGGGCCACACCAACCCGGCACCTGACGATGCATAAGTGGGTTTGGGGTTGCAGTTTGGGCACTCGGTCTCTAAAAGGTTCGCCATCACTGACCTATACCATCTCAGACAAGTTATTGTCCAGTGTCTTCTTAAAAATCTCCAGTGATGGAGCGCCCATGGTTTCTGGAGGCCAGCTGTTCCACTGGTTAGTTGTCCTCACTGTCAGGAAGTTTCTCCTTAGTTCCAGGTTGCTTCTCTCTTTGGTCAGTTTCCAACCATTGTTTCTCGACCTTCCTTCTGGTGCTTTGGTGAATAACATGACCACCTCTTCCTTGTGGCAGCCCCTCAGATACTGGAATACTGCTATCATGTCTCCCCTATTTCTTCTTTTCTTCAGACTAGCCAAACCCAAGTCCTGCAGCCATACATTTTGGTCTCCAGGCCTTTGATCATCTTAGTTATTCCTCTCTTGATTTTTTTTCCAAACTCTCAACATCTTTTTTGTGATATGGTAACCAAAATTGGCTGCAGTATTCCAGGTGTGGTCTTACTAGGGCTTTGTAAAGCGGTAATAATACCTCACGTGATCTTGATTCTAGGCCTCTGTTTATACAACCCAGGATTGTATTAGCTTTCTCGGTTTTATTACATCAGAGTTTCTCAACCTTGGCAACCTGAAGGTGGTTGGACTTCCAACTCCCATAGCTGGCTGGGGAATTCTGGGAGTTGGAAGTCTACCCATCTTCAAGGTTGAAAAACACTGTATTACATTTGTAATGACTGGTTTGTGGCTTGTTAACAAAGCATAAGGATCTCATTTTTCCTGTCTTTTTTGTAATAGCCCATCGCCCGTGGGCGAATATACAAGAATTATTAAAAAGGAAGTTAAGAAGGAGCTATTCTGGGCAGCTTACCAAGAGTAAAAATGGTAAATATGAAATAAAATTAAAATGACGAAGAGTTCCAAAATGGCCCAGGGCTAAGGTCTTCTTATCCCATCCACCACCTCCAGCAAAGAGTGCCCCCATGAAGGCACCAAGCCGATCAACAAAATCAGATCTTAAGACTCTTCCACAGGGGTCCTCAAACTTGACCACTTTAAGACTTGTGGACTTCAACTCCCAGAATTCCCCAGCCAGCATGGCTGGCTGGGGAATTCTGGGAGTTGAAGTCCACAAGTCTAAAAGTGACCAAGTTTGAAGACCCCTGCTCTTCCAGATTTCACCCCCAACAGCAGAATGATCCACAGAGCGGGGGCCACAGCAGAAAAGGGCTCTTCTCTTCAATAGCCCCCTCCCAGGCTAAAACGTCTTAACGGACGAGGTCTGCAGCAGGTGCCGTCCGCCGAAGCCAGTAGGGCGAGCTCGTCTCAATTGTAGTCATAACTCAAGGATTACCTGTAGATGTTCAACCTTCCTTTTTCTACAAATCGCACCCTGACGTGGAGTGAACCCTCTGAGTCACCCCAGATCCCTCATCAACTGCACCTTAGTGACCCCCTAGACATGCTTAGGGGCCCTAGGCATGCACCTCAGGATCTGATTGGCTATAGAGTTTTTGAAGCTATCCCCCCCGCCCCAAATTTCATGGGTTGCAAGACACCCCCTTAGGCCTGCCAGTTAAAAGGGGTCTGACATCTGGAATCACACACTTGGAACACTGCATCCAGTTTTGGTCACCACGTTACAAAAAAAAGATGTTGAGACTTTGGAAAAAGTGCAAAAAGAAGAGCCATGAAGATGATTAAAGGCCTGGAGACTAAAATATATTTAAAAAATGGTTGCAGGAATGGGGTATGTCTAGTTTAATGAAAAGAAGGACCAGGACTGACATGATAGCAGAGTTCCAGTATTTGAGGGGCTGCCCCAAAGAAGAGGGAGTCAAGCTATTCCCCAAAGCGCCTGAAGGCAGGACGAGAAGCAACGGATGGAAACTAATCCAGGAGAGAAGCAACCTGGAACTAAGGATAAATTTTATGAGTGAGAGCAATTAACCAGTGGAACTCCTTGCCTCCAGAGGGCAGGACAAGAAACAATGGGTGG